AATTCAAAATCTGTATGCTTTGACTTCATCCATATGACTAACATAGTTATACATAAAACTACATTATTCTGAGACTTTGTGCACCTGATTAACAAAATTACATATGTATAGAACTATCTTATTTACTTTGTTTACAAAAATTTAAAATATTTTTGTTAATTCAATCATTTCTGTTACATAATTATTTACAAAACTATTTTATTCACTTGGTTAAATTATTATACAAGACATATACTTTTTTAACATGTGCTTTAAATATTTTTCCTCTGATATCATTCACTCATTCAGCTTACATATAAAACTATTTTATTAAATACTATTGTTTGCTTACACTGCATACACCTATAACTGTTTCACTGAATAATTTCAATTGTATAAAATTATTTTAACATATCACTTGCTTATCATACATGTCATATAATTCTAATATTGAGAATACAAATAAAACTAATTTGTTTTATGCTTTTTTTTTTATATATCTGACATAAACTTAGCTGTTTGACTCCATTATTTCATTTCATGATTATAGTTATCTGCTGATTATGCCTACCATCTTACGTATATACTCCAATCATCAGACTAACAGTTTGCTGTGTCGATCTATTGAATTTGTTTCCAAACAGTTCTACATCATGCATCGTAAGCCCTTTATTTTGCAGGTAGGTATTATAATATTCAATTTGTTGGATCAAAACTTTAAAGGAACAAAGACATGTTATTATCAGTAAGTGTTACTAATGTGTTTTATAAGATTAACATCTGTTTTAGGAGACATATGGTTGGTCTGTTTAATGATAAAATCATAAGGGGTATACCCATTGGAATGGTGTGGGGAGCAGGCCCCCAATGGAGATCTCTGCCTCTAGCATTCCTACACATCAGATATATAGACTTTTAAGACTTTTATTTTCTGTACATTGTGATCCCATTAACATGAAAGAGTTAATTTTTCTGCCCCCAAAGTAACTCTTTGCTCCTCTCTCTCATTTTAAATTATCCAAATACCACATCCACTTACACTTAATGGCATATAACATGTATAGAAGTCAAAATCTAAGACTAAATATGATGCATAACATCAATCCAACTTCCTTACTATTCAGTTGTCTTTGAAAAACGTTTATATGAAGTGGTTTTTCAGATATGTAAAATGATCCAGTTGTTTTACTGCTTGAAACTGTAAAATGTTTTAACACAATAATATGTGCCAGAAACTTGTCATACGTAACCTGTGACAATATTGTAACATTAAGTTTTGAATCATAGTAATCAACACACAAATATTCTGATATATAAGTAATAAAAATTTATACGAGTCTTCAAAATATTGCTGTTTCTGTGAAAATATATTTCTAAGTTATTTTACAAGTATCTGTAAGATGAGATTTTCAGTACCATCAAATATTAGATGTAGCAAGATTTTAGGTAAAAATGAGAGGTTCAAATTTAACAAATACCTAAGTAAATTTGACAACTAAGCTTTTATACTTGTTAAATATCTATTACTAAGTGAATTTAGCCCCCAATTGGCACAGTGGTATGTCTGTGGACTTACACCACTAGAAACTGGGTTTCAATACCCATGGTGGGCAAAGCACAGATAGCCTTTTGTGTAGCTTTGTGCTTAACTACAAACAAACTAATTGAATTTATTAATTTTTCCTATTTTGAAAAGTTTCATATCAGTACCACAAAGATATATCAAGAAGAATTATTACATGGATGTAGATAAAGATAAATAAGTTATGTAAAAACAAAATCTACATAGTTAAAATCTTTTTCAAGTTGGACATAAAATTATACACTAACATCTTCAACTGATAAAGATTATATCCAAAATTAATAACCCTCTATCCATGTTTGTTAACTTAGAGTTCCAATTTTGTTTTAACCTAGTGTTATATGGAGTAAAAATGTACAATTCTTCCTACATGCATTAATGACTTTGAGAAAGATTGGAAATATAAATATACTTAAACATAATATGGTTTTAACCTACATTATTTACTTTTTTTTCACTGGTGCCCTAATTCTGTGTAGTGATATTTATAAAGCCAGCTATATTTTTACACAAAATAATAAAATTAAGTAGATTGTAACACAATCCCTCAGGTATGCTATAGCATATCTATAACTTTTCTGTTGGCATACTAATAACTGTATTGAAGCTTCAATGGCAAAACATTGATTGAAATAAAAAGCTTTTTATTATTATCTGGACAACAAAGGTTGTTTTTCTAAATTTATTGCCAAAAGTCTATTGTACACAAAAAATTATTTGTGTTACTAAAGTTTTTGCGTTAAAGATATGTCTGTGAAATGCTGAAGTCAGTTTGATTCGGACTTTGACAAGTTGGAGTGCAAGGTAATGTTCATGTGAAGAATAAACAAATGTTTTTACATTATATAGTTTGGAAATTACATTTGCATAATCTATACAACCTCCTTAATGTATATCTAATGTTTTTTGGTATTCCTATATATTTTATCTGGTATTTTCTCTAACACAAACTGTTTCAAAATCAACAATCTAGGATAACATGAAATGTTGATGACTCTTACATCAGATGAATATTACTATGTTGAATGACAGTGTAATAGGTTCGGGCATGTGCACTTTTTTCCCTTTTCCATTCACATAAAGTTGATGTACAGTATAGACAATCTAAAAGAAATCTTTAACCTTTACGTTGACAGTTTTTGCCTTTCTTAATGTACGGTATAGTTATTCTAAAGATAGGCTATAACCCTTATATTAACAGTCTGTGTCATTCTTAATGTAATTGTATAGATATTCTAATGGAACGCTTTAAGCCATCAGTTGACAGTTTGTATCATTCTTAATGTAGGGTATAAACAATTCAAAGGAATGCTTTAACTCTTGAGTTGACAGTCTCTGCCATTCTTAACTTAATTGTATAGACATTCTAATGGGAGGCTATGGCCCTTCAATTGATTGTCTGTACCATTCTTAATATAATTGTGTACACATTCTAAAGGAAGGCTGTAGCCATTTATATGACACTGTGCTATTTTTATTTAGGGGTATACAATTTAGAATAGGAAGGCTGTTGACAGTCTGTAGGTATTATAAAGGAAAGCTAAAGCTTTTCATTGGAAAGACTACAGACAGTTTTTGTGTTTACTATATAGCTATTTTATAGAAAGACTATTGGCACTGTATAGTTTTATATCAATTTTGTAGGTATTTTACATCTTTTCTGTAACAGTCCTCTAGGTACGCTATAGTATATATATATATATATATATATATAATTCTTTAGTCTTTCTGTTCCATTTCATGATCATTCTCTTGTTCCATACATTCTATTTATTGACATTATGTAATAATCTAACTGTCTGTATGTTTTTGATATATTCTTATAACTCTTCTACAGGCATTTCTCTCTTGCATATATTTCTTAACCATATTAATAACCTACAATCTTAAACATATTCTGGTTATGGCAAGCTTTGTTATCATGCGTTTTACTGGTAGGTATTAAAACATAATAGTTCACTAGGAAGTTGTATGTTCCAGTTTTTTTCAGTGTGCAAAAAGGTTTCTTTTGGATTATTTGGAAAAAATAATAATGCAAAGTCCAGTTAACTTAACAATAAAAAAGGTTTATTTCTTCAACTTCCAAATCCAAGGTTTGCATAACCAACATTCATCAATAGTCCTAACTTCACAAACAAACAGAAATTCCTCCTATTTGGTAACATTGTTCTTTGTTACTTCTTGAAAACATGAACTCAATATTCACAGTGCTAACTGGCTGACATGCAACAATGGACAAACTGACAAAAAATGTATTCTTATTACTCACTAACTGACTGACAGTTAACCCTATAAGTAAAAAGTTGGTCAATTTGACCAACATTGGAACTATAAAATTATACGTACTATAACACTGAATTAATTATGCGTATCTTCACATAATTTGGCAGGCTTTTAGTAAACACTAGACCACCCGTGACCCATTGGGTCACCCACTATTCAGAGGTTATGAAGAATTCAAGCTAATTTCAATATTGCACCGAAATGAAGGTTTATTTTGAGATAATTTAATTAAATATTCAATCCATTCGTGTTACTCATAATTCAAGGAAAGATATTTGATTGTTGATCGAGAGTAAAAGGAAAGACCATTTCATTTTTCAAAAGTGAAGTCAGAGTTTTCAGATATTGTGATGAACAAACCTTATTCACAGTTGATTCAAAAGTCTGAAAATAAGATATAACAGATAATAGTAATGTTATTCATAGTTTATTAGAACGTAATTGCTATCAAAAAACCAAAAAAGCTATTTCAGAAAAACATTTCAAACTTATTTGCTTTCTTGACTTGGGAGTTCACATTTTTATATATTTTTTAATTATTATAAATTTCTCTCCCAGTTTTCGTCTTTGACAATCAATAATTTTTGTTTTTTCAGATGTTTGGCAGTGCTGCTTCCATTCTAGACCTAGATACAACTAGCATGTATGGAGATGCAAACAAGGTAAGAGTAGAAAGTGTACAATTTGCAGCTTATGCCTTGACATTTGCTATCAATAGATGATGTTAAATGATACATGCTTGCTTATCATTTATCACTAATTTAATTTAAATTACCTTAGTCTTAAGGTTATCTGCAAAAAATTTACATCAAATGATCTTAGTTCTGATGTTTAATGATATTTATTGATCTATGTTGTTCATTGTTCTTTCCAAATATCTGACCTTAAATGATCTTGTAGTAATCTAAATCCTAACTTTGTCTATCAGAAACTGATATTACATGTTTCTGATGTTGTTTATAATTAATTCTTCTAGGTCCAGTCCAAGGCCTTTTTTCAACTCCTTTTATCTTTTGGCCAATACATAGTTGACCCTTTAGATATCTTGGGGCTGGTAAAAGGGGAAAAACCATTACGAGCATTAGATTTTTGCTATCAGATGGATCCAGACACACTGACTATCCAAGACTGCATCTCCTTATGTGTAACAGTGGTAGCTTATGCTCCAGACTCACAGCGAGGTCACCAAATGCTGGTAATTATGTGATTGACCTTATGAAAATTCATTGTCTTATGTGTAACAACAGTGGCCATCTGTGTTTCTGGCACACATTCTAAAATAATTTGTTGCTAAACAACAATTTTTTCTGTTCTTGAATGGGATTCTTATAACCAATAGAAACAGCAGAATTCACCATTAGTCTCTCCAGGATAAAGGATACATAAGAAATAGATTGTTTTTAAAATGACAAGGATATTTTTGTTGGTGTATATTGTAGATATCAGTGTCTCTTGTACTTGGCTATAGCTTCATGCCTTATACATATTAGTTTGATAGACAGTTAAATTGCATTTAGGTTGTACTTTTACATTTTAGTTAATTATGTATTATTTGTGATTTAAAATTCATATTTGAAAAGTTTAATGATATTTATAAGTTTATTTATTCATCTCACATTTCACTGAATCTAAAAGTACAATGTGTGCAATTGCCCTTGGGCTAACGAGTCTCTTGCAAACAGTTGTAAAAATGCCTGAGGGCCATTATGAGATATTTCAGCATAAATAATAAAAGATGAAGAATGGAAAATAAAGTAAAAATATACTATAAGTGAAAAGATAAAGAGTGAAATTATGCATATGAGACAAAGAAGACTTCTAGTGAATTTCTATGAAGAGTTGAAAGGTATGTACATATTTCGATTTGTTAATTTTAAACATTTCATTGCATCATATGTTGATGATAATAGCTATATATATATAATAATGATATATTAGAGAAAATGGAAAATAAAATATTAACATTTACCTTAAAACTTTTGATATTCATTTATCCAGAGATTATCCAAATGAAATGTAAAAACTGTATGATAAAAAAATAGTATTTTCATATAAAGATCACCTTGCAGATACATTAAATAATGATTTTTTTGTTAGAAATAGTAGAAAAAATCAAAATTAAATATTTTATTTTTTTGAAACTATATACTTTTAGGAATGTTCTTGTCAAATTTTAAACAATTTCATTCACTAGTCTTTGAAATATGATGAATGTGATGTTATTTACTTACCAGGTAAGTAGATAATTGGCAAGGGATTAATGTATAACAGTGTTAACATATTCTTCAGACTCATAGGTTGATTATCAGATACTGGTACATATCACAGGTTGATTTTAATGGTCATCTGGGATGACTAAGACTTCCTTGGATGACCAGCTTAAACCCTCATGTTGTCTGACTGACAACTAGTGTCCTGGAACAGACCCTTACTCAAAACAGCACTGAAGTCTACTGTACGCTTAGCCATGCTCACACTAAACATGTAATGTTGACTCCGTAAATTCCATAACTATGAACTCGAAAATTTGAACCTCCACAAAAATACATTTTGGTCCATTTTTTGTTGTTGTTGTTTAAAAAAAGATTGTACTTTGTATAAGAGAAATATTGGTACAATCCACCAAAAGGGGCTGAAACCAATAGGAAAAGTTCACTTTTGTGATTGGCTAATAATGCTATTTTAGTCACTAAACTTTCAGCTGTGGACAAGCTGTGCCTCTGTGCTCATTATGCACATACATTTTGTATAGAGTTAAACTGTGCATGAATGGCTATTTGTGGTAACAGTACAGTCTATACAGCTTAGTTAGTTGCATTGTTTGTATGTATATATATATGGGCAGGTGGGAATTCACAAGGAAAGCAAATGCTGATAACAAATATTTAGTGACAATAATTTCTACTATAGGTAGTTATGACAATAAAACTAACATGGTTGTCTCAACTTCTTACTTATGAACCTTCGGTAGGAACTAAAATGATCAAATTTACAAAATCAAACTCAGAATTTTCATTGTTAATCATTGCAGTCGATACACTGACCCCCTTTCGATTACACACGTATAGACCTAAGGCTAACATTAGACAGACACGACCAATTGAATCTAGAAATACGGAAGACCTAGCTACCATGAAAAACAGGAAAGTCCACGATTAAACAGAACATAATAATGATAACTGCAAACAAACTTTTAGGAAAGTTTGATCAGTAAGAAACAGAATAACAATAAATAAGGCTAGTTTTGTCACTCTCTCCAGGTCAATACAAACTACGAGTATGAACGTACGTGAGTGAACAGGTGCAGTGCCCAGGCATTTTGTACATATTATGGTATAGTAGTATGCGTGAGAGTTCTGATGCAAGTCTAGTCTTACTATAGGCTGTACTCTATTGGCCAAGCTGTTTAGAATAAAAACATTGAACATGATTGGCCAAGATTTCTGTTCTGTTTAAAAGTTTTATGGTCTGTGACTGTTTATTTCCTTATGATACTATGTAACATTAGCGTGGTTTGGGCTTATTTTTTCCAATGTAACGAAACTTCCCGGGAAATAAGGCATCAAAAAATTAATTGAATAATATTGTACATTAATATTGTTGTAATTGGATCTACTTTGAGAGTCTATGTTTTGTGGGTTTTTTTGTAACCAACCAATACAGCCTTATGAACAACCTGGAAATATCCTTAAAATCGATCCATGCATATGTGTCTGAATGGATGCATGATTATATCTTATGATGTGTAACAGTGGTGGCCTATAGTTTTAGATTTGCAGGCTCAGGGCTGTATAATATACAGGGGCAGACTGGCCTATCGGGATACCGGGACTTGTCCCGGTGGGCCGATAGTCCAACTCAATTTTGGGCCGATCTACATA